AAGGCAAGTGGCAAGGCCAATTAGCAATGTCATATGATTAGAACACATTGACAATCTTCTAAGGTATGATGTGCCTTAATGGTTCAGTCAACAGTGTCTTTGCCCCCTTGCAGGGTAGAGTCTTATATTCTGGGGCGGAACGGCAAGTTGTTCAAGCTGTGGTTAGATGCCGCAGCGGAGAATTGCTGGGTGGTCTTGTCTCAGGAAAGGATCCTTGTCTTCATAGTCTGGATGTTATTTAGTTCCAAATCAACCCCATCCTGGCCCATCCTATTCAAAACTGTGGTGCCATGATTGCTAACCTTCTGGTAGACCCCTTTGCCCAAGCGGACCATCTTTCGCTGTGTGACCTGCTTCAAGAGCAAAACCTCTTGGTGCTGCCGTTCACGAGCCACCTCGCAGGGTGGAGGCCATCGCTACTGAGTTGGAGGCCACCACTAGTAGGTTCCTTAATGTCTTTTTTCATCGTTTTTCTATGAGGGTAGAGGTGGCTTGACCGCTGCACCGATGACGTCGAACGTCGAAAGTCGCCAGTTCTCGCTTGCGGCGAGGGCCCTCTATACAGCGGAAGTGGCAGAGCTCTTGAAGGTGGGATCAATGAATCAACCGAATCAACTCCCGCTCTTCTGTAACATGGGGGTGGGTCCAGGTAGGTGTAGTCTTAAGACGTGTTCGTGACATGTCGTGACACATTTTGAGAGGACTTTCACCAATGATTTCTGTGTTTTGCTTGCAATTTCAGCCGAAGGCATTGTGAATGGTAAAGCTTTGGCTCCAAGTCGCATTTGATGCCTCACGCGCCTTTCCAAAACAGCACCTATGAACAAGCTGGGCTAGCACCCATCATTCACAGCCAAAGAGGCTTCTGTTCTGCGGTACAATCCCCGCCTCGTCGCATTCGCCACGGCGAACCTGGCAGGGTCCGGGTCCGGCCACTTCGGGCAAAACCCCCCGTGGCACCTGCTGGCACCTTCTATGGTGAACTGCCATTCAAAGAGACATACCCTCATAGATTAAAGACTTTAAGGAACCTACTAGCAGTGGCCTCCAACCTACTAGCAGTGGCCTCCCTAGTAGCGATGGCCTCCACCCTACTAGCAATAGCCTCCAACCTACTAGCTTCACCCGTGGCACTTGCTGGCACCTTCTTCCTGAAATGGTAAACTACCATTCAAAAAGAAATTCGTCCAAGCGCCAAAAGCGTCAGTCCGAACCCGGAACTGTGCTGAAGATCTGGGGATCTGCATTGAAACATTCTGAGACTGCAGGGCTCCCTCCTGTCACCGCAGGGTTTTCGTCCTCTCTTCTCACATGAAGCGAAATGAAAAAACATGGTCCCAATAGGCCAGCAAAGGGAATGTGTTGGATCCAACACTTCTACATGCTCACATTGCTTCACACTTCCCTTTGTCCACCAACTCCAGTTTGGGAGAAAAGAAGGCTCTAAACCCCAAAACTACTAGGAACAAGGACGCTATTAGGGCTCCTGGCCTTACTACTAGGAACAAGGACGCTAGTAGGAACAAGTGCATCGCTACTAGTAACAAGTGCCTTACTAGTAGTAACAAGAAGCTATTAGTAACAAGTGCCTTACTAGTAGTATCAAGGACGCTAGTAGGAAATGTTGCGCCTTCGCCGGCGGCTCGGTGTAGGGCACCAGGGCCCCACTCATCGGCACAGAGCCGACGGAGCTGAAGCAATCACCCTCGAGTCGTCGAACCAAACCCAAGGATGCCACATGTCACCTACGTGCGTGTGGCCTCCAGCCTAATAGCGAAAGGAATAAACGACCAAAAACATGGCAACAAACCATCGGATTTTTGTTGGGATTCGGCGGATTCAGATTTGCTCTTTCATGGTTCGGGTGAGCTTCTTTCGTGGAGGTTCTCCACTGGGCAATGCAACAGGTACATCAGTTGGAAACTTCAAAACGACTCTGAAAATCACTAGGAGCAAAGGGCATCGCTACTAGGAGCGACGCTACTAGGGGCAATTGGCCTTACTACTAGGAGCAAGAATTGGAGGCCGCTAGTGGCTGGTGTCACTTGGAGCCTCTGAGTTACTCGGATGTCCTCATGGATTGGACCAACGGCAGGGGCAGCTTCTTGTGCAGCCTTTTGCGCAGCCTTGTGCTTGAGATTATAGTGAGGGTGACCTCTACATTTTGTGAACGTTAGAAGGTCTAAAATGGAAATTGCTAAGAGGCCCAGGTCAAGTGAGAAATGGATTCGTTGAGACTGGCTTTCGCAATCAGCAGCGGTTTACGGCAGGGGCGGGCAAGCCATTTTCCGAAAAAAGGAATAACACACAAAAGGCATTACTACTAGTAACAAGAAGCTACTAGGGGCTCCTGGCATCGCTACTAGGAGCATTCTAACTACTAGTAACAAGAAGAGACACAAACAGGTGAGAATCTCCGGAACTATTCCTGGCGTCTGCATCCACCTGGAATGACCTGGAACGTCGTCTTTCTTCACTCGGCCCAGTGGCGTGGCCCTGCCACGCGTCCAACCGCTCTGCCGAGCGCTGTGGGCGCCTAGCGGGATGGCGGGTTGGGATGGAACCGGTCCATAGAGTAGCCTTGGAAATCATAAATCCGGTGTGTGGAGGCCATCGCTATTAGAAACAAAGAAAAAAGAAAAGGAAGAGAGAGTCTAGTAGCTTCTTGTTCCTAATAGCTTCTTGCTCCTAGTAGTACGGCCAGGAGCCCCTAGTAGCATCCTTGCTCCTAGTAGCGATGCCAGGAGCCCCTAGTTGCTATTCGGTCTGAAGTCCGATGTGCGGAGTACAAAGGTGTGAAATATGATGGTCGACATGTGAGACAGATGCGTAGATGCGCTGGGGGAAGTGTCAGTTGCCTCAGTTGCAAGTCCTGCCAAAGGTTTGAATTGGCAACAACAAACTTTCATCCAGCATTTGGCTCTCGACTCTCACGACTCTCTCTCTCTCTTTTTTTAAAGAAAAGAGGAGCTCTGTGACCAGAAGTCGCCCTTTTCATCACTTCTGCACTTTCCCGCTCCGCCCTTCACTTCTCCCTGCTTCTCCTCTGAGTGCTCATCAAAAAGGCACTCATCGCGCCCACCAAGGCACCGGTGGAGACACCCGCGATCAACAACGCCACCTCCAACCCAGAACGCGCCGAACGCGTCGAACGCGCGGTGTAAACGTGCGTGTGGACTTCAACCTAATAGCGTCCTTGCTCCTAGTAGCGATGCCCTTTGTTACTAGTAGCTTCTTGCTCCTAGTAGTACGGCCAGGAGCCCCTAGTAGCTTCTTGCTCCTAGTAGCGATGCCCTTTGTTACTAGTAGCGTCCTCTTGTTCCTAGTAGTACGGCCAGGAGCCCCTAGTAGCTTCTTGCTCCTAGTAGCGATGCCCTTTGTTACTAGTAGCGTCCTCTTGTTCCTAATAGCAATGGCCTCCAACCTAATAGCGAACTCATGGACCTGGGAGGACAACACTGGGAATGGAGTCTGGGAACCGGCGTTGCTCGAGAGGTTCGAGATGTGCACATCCCTTCAGGACAGTGGCCTCCATGGGCAGCACAGCACACACTGACCGAGGAACACAGGCGATTGAGCAGCTGATGCTGAAACGACACGGGTTGTTGTTTTGTAGCTGATACTCATCCACTTCGTTCAATATGGCTATACTACAGCTTTTGAACCAGAAAGAATCCCTTAGAGATGTCACATCCATTGCAGGGAAATCCAGATGCACTTCCACAGATTGAGCAAAGGTCAACGAGCCCATGAGGAGACGCAAACTCATTTTGACATGGAGGCCATCACTAGTAGAAACAAAGAAAAGATAAAAGAAAGAAAGGTCTAAAACAAAGATGCTACTAGGAGCAAGGGCGCTACTAAGTAACTAGGGCTCCTGGCCTTACTACTAGGAGCAAGAACGCTACTAGGGGCTCCTGGCCTTACTACTAGGAGCGTGTTTGCTATTAGCATCGTTCGTCTCACACCTTTGCCCTTCAGGGTCCGTGGTGCTTTGGATCGTAGTGACTGCAACTTCATGTAACACATCATCTCCGCCACCTTGACGAAAGGTATGGACATGTATGGAGGAACATGGTTCTGCGGTGAGGGAAAATCGGCCTCACACACCAACCTTCGGAAGGTGTTCCAGGCTCCAGAGTCAGCGTCATCAGTCCTCCTCCCTAGAAGCTATAGAATTAGAATATTCTTGTTACTAGTTGCTTCTTGCTAATAGTAGTAAGGCCCTTGTTACTAGTAGCGATGCCAGGAGCCCCTAGTAGCTTCTTGTTACTAGTCAGCGTCATCAGTCCTCCCTTTTTCTGGACCTTTTTGCATCCGGTGGCCAGGCCTTGTGGCACACCGAATTTCGGGGCGGAATCACATTCAGCCGGCACTGTTGTTTTCAAACTGGGCACCGACCGTTTGCCGGGAATGAGGACGCTGGATTTTTAAGTGACAGAAGAACGCACACGGGAGAACACCCAAGGAAGGAGAGGTACAGTACACATTGCTTCGAACAAAGCTCCCCATCTGTAGGTGAGTTGCCCCGAAGCCTCCTCCTGTTTTTTCTCTTGTTTCGGACATATCACACATGTTGGCCAAGTTTGGCAAAAAAATAATGAGTTCTACTAGGAGCAAAGGGCATCGCTACTAGGAGCAAAGACGCTACTAGGGGCTCCTGGCCTTACTTCTAGGAGCAATGTTCACTACTAGGAACAAAGGGCATTACTACAGGTGGTGGACTCCCTTGGCACGTTGGAAAGGTTCGGCCGTGGAAGATGCAGAGGCAGTCAAGCGGCGCTTGTCTGCGCTCGGCGGCGCTTGGCCGATGGCCGAGGAGGGATGGAGCTTGGTGCTCGGGAGTTTTGTATGAAACTCGGGAGAGGATGCTTTAACACTCCATTCCTCTTCTTTCCAGTTGGGCAGTTGCAATCAAGCCAAGAACCGTAACTCACAGAAGTCGGCTGCGTCTGCTATTTGAGAGAGACAAAAACAAGTCTCTTTGGTGAGAACCTGCAAAACAATTAAAACAACAAAAACAGATTCACACTGCCCAACAGGACGGCCATAACTGCTACGCTGTGGCACCCGAGGTCACACCGAGATGGGCTTCGTCAAGGGGAAGCCCTCACAACAGCCCAAAGAGATCTGCCTCGGATGTCGCGAACAGAAAGGCCAAGTGGCCCGTCCGCCCACCCCACCCAAAGCTCAATCGGAGCAAGGACGCTACTAGGGGCTCCTGGCATCGCTACTAGGCACAAGGACGCTAACTAGGGGCTCCTGGCCTTACTACTAGGAACAAGAAGCAATTAGAAACAAGAATTAGAATGAGAAATAATTAGAATTACTCTTATATAAATGTGGTCGGAACCTCACCAGGCCTTGTTAAGGCTTGCTTCATCAGTGGCAAACTATCTCTTGGTCAAGCCGCTTGGCCCCCCATCTGGATTCCGTCATGTCAAATCCGGCGCACAAGTGAGGTTTCCATGGTCATCTGACAAAACTACTTTTTGGGGATACAATCTATACACCATGGAGTGTACCCTGAGACCTCGTCAAAAAGGAACACTATATAAGTAGCTCATCTCATATCCCACTCAAACTCTACATGAGATACCGCTACCCCATTCCAACCACCAAATCACAGCCCTTTTGTCCACGCTCCACCACCCATCACATCTTCGTTCAATACCCATCCCACAACCCCCGCAAATTCCCACAACCCCGCACCCAACCACACCCCACAGCCATGCCATTCATCTCCACTTCTTCAGTCCAACGACTCCCGGTTGGGGCAGCAATGGCCTTCCAGACCCACGGCCCTGCAGGCGGGGTAGTTCTCGCAGCGGGTGCCGTTCAAACCGGGAACCACGGCGGCCGGAACGCTCTGCTGGGCCTCGCGGGCGAAGCGGCGAAGCGAGACTCGTTTTTGGCGTGGCAAGCGGGGGAATTTGAGCACATCTGAATCCAATGACACTTCACACACCCTTAACGAAGAAAATCCAGGAGAGACTTTGGAAGGAAAAGGGAAGAAATAGAAACACCATGAAAACACATGTCACACACCTCCTCCAAAAATGAACCTCCCCTTCTTTTAAACCAAACCAACAGCTGTCTGCCGAGGCACTGCGGTGTCTGCCGGCAGCTTGGCCACCTGGCATGGCCGAGGGCCGAGGGCCACGCTTTCAAAACGAATCCCATTTGGCAGCCAACTTCATGAAACACATGTTACTCACATGTTAGAGGCCATCGCTAGTAGTAGGTTGGATGCCCATCGCTATTCGGTCGGAGGCCATCGCTAGTAGAGAGGAGTCCATCGCTATTAGGTTAGAGGCTGCTATTAGGTTGGATCCGATCGCTCTTAGGTTGGAGGCCATTGCTACTAGGTTGGAGGCCAACTCTATTCGGTTGGAGGCCATCGCTATTGGGCCATTTTGCTCATGTCACAACATCGTTGATTTTGGAGATGTCTTGTGTTGGTGAAGGAAGAAAACTCATCAAAATGAACAATTGAATTTATGGATACTTGGGAGATGACATATCTTCACCTGCCACATCCACGTTGAATTGGGTACGTGGGTATTGACCCAGACAGAGTTTTGGTGGGTGTTCGTTTGCGGTTGTGGGGGAAGTCGGTTCACGTGTTCCGTTTGGAGTCCAAAGCACTCGATCCTCATTCTCACTCCCGCATTCCAAGTGACCGACGGTGTTCTTTCTAAAAGAACTTCACTAAAATGCCCTTCAGTTAGACTCCATTCACATTCAATGTAGCATGTTAATCCTCAATCATGCAACCCAATTCCGGACGGAGCGCGGATATGCCATGAAACAGAAACGCCGATTCGTTCAGAGCGCTGCACTGCTTGTCAGTTCTCTGCACTGCGCCTGCAGCGCAGGATGACAGCTGGGAGGTCCCACGATGGTCTCTGAGAACTCATAGGGTGCTGCGTGGGGCTTTGACGTGGCATCTGTCAGGAGACCTCGACTCACGCAGCAGCGACACACCGACGGAAAGTCAGCCGTGCAGAGCATATGTCTCAAATGACAAAGGGTCACTCATAATGATCATTAGCAACTTGACCAAGACTGGGTGAGGATGGCCACTGAGAACCGCAGTTGGGTGCTGCATTCCTCAATCTATTGCATGGTGACACGTGTAATTGCACCTCCAACAGGTCCAGGGGCAGGGGAAGCTGCACCAGGACACATTGGACCCGTCGCAACCAAATCTTGCACCTCCGGATAAATGCTCGGCCTCTGAAACCGTAATTAGAACGCTACTAGGGGCTCCTGGCATCGCTACTAGGAGCAAGGACGCTAGTAGGGGCTCCTGGCATCGCTACTAGGAGCAAGGACGCTACTAGGGGC